GTTAATTAGAGTCAGTGAGCAGAGGAATATCCTACACGAAAGTGAGCAGAGGAATATCCTACACGAAAACAGAGAACGGAAGGCTAATTGGATTGGTCATGTTTTACACAGAAACTGCCTTCTGAGAGAAGTTATTGAAGGAAAGATAGAGGGGCGGATAGAAGTGACAAGAAGATGAGGAAGAAGACGTAAGCAGATGCTGGATGACCTTGGGGACAGAAGAGGATATTTTCATTTGAAGGAGAAAGCTCTAGATCACATTAAGTGGAGGAATTGTTTTGGAAGAAACTGTGGACCTGTCGTCTGACAGATTACTGATGATGATGATATGAATATATTATTTATTAAGAAATGATAATTCCATAAATTACATTATGCACTTTCTGAAAATATATTAACCTTTATCACCTGCCATTTAAATTTCTAATACGAGGTGGATTTACTGAGAGTTCAGATCCTAAAACCTGCACAGTTTCTTAAAATAAATTGTAATTATTTCCTTTTTACAACTAGCAAGAAATATCCCTGAACAGTTTTCTGTGAGCTTAAAGCCCTTTAAGAAATTTTCAGATTAAATTCATATGAACCACCCATGAATGAAATTACCCTTTATCATCCAGGTATAAAAATTTTAAACCTCCTGGTGTTCTAAGGTCAGCAGCCATGTTTTAATTTGGGGGTAATTGTTCATTGTCTAAAAAAAAGGTATCCCTGTAAAAGGCTATGAAGGATCATAGGGTTGTAAGACGTCAAGGCTCCCATATTTTCTCTAGACAATCGGCTCACAGATGGTGTGAGGTAGTCAGGCGTATGCACCACCAGCCCTTTACCACACAGGAAGATTTCTGGTGTACTCATTTTTGTTAGCTGCTGAGTCAACCCCAAGGCCATAGAGTGGCTGCAGGGAATTTTAAGTGTCCCAATACTTCAAGGCTGATTACCATATATTATCTTAGTGGTATTAGTATTAAAAAGTGTTATACTTGTAAAGCTCAATCATCTGGAGTACACACACAAGCAAACACAATAATGCAAAACAAGACCCATGAAGTTAAAGCCAAGACAATAAAGAACTAAATATGTGTACTGTTTCATACAGATGGAACTTTTATTATATGACCTACAACTGCTCTTATGACTTACATTGCAAGTGCAATCTGTTCGTTTCCCTCGAAGGTCATTGACAACACCCTGACAGGTATCAAAACATATGCAACCATTATCAAATGCTCTTCCAGAACCCAAGTCTCCCAAGCACATCTTGCTGCTATTCCCTATAAATAATAAATTTATACATCGTTAAACTTTAAAATAAAAGGTCAGGCAAATATGTTGAGACTAACTTTTTAAAAATTGATTTTAAGAGATGCAGATATTAGCAACCTAGAATTTTTCAAAGTAATTTCCTTCCGATTCTTTACAATGCTGCCAGTGCTTCCGCCATTGTTGCAAACAGTTTCGAAAATTCTGAACAGGAATGTCTGTCAAGATTTTCTTCACAGATGATTTAGTGTCTTTTAACATCTGAGAAATGTCTTCCTTTTAGCACACTCTCTAGTTCTGGAAACAGCAAGAAGTCAGAGCTAAGTCAGGAGAGTACTGTGGATGATCCATAGAGCAGATGCTTTCTCCCACAAAACCACGACACTCAAAAGTGAAGAATGTGGCAGTACATTGTCATAGTGAACAACCAATGAGCAATCTTTCCTCAACTATCCTCGTTTGCACCCCATGGCTTCAATAAGCTTTTTCATCACCTCCATGTAGAATGCCTGATTAACAGAGGTCCCTTCAGATGCAAATTCAAAGTGGATGTACTACTGATGTCCCAAGAAAGCAGATTAACATGCTTTGATCTTGGACTTTGACATCTGTGGCTACTTTGGCCTGGGAGAATTCTTCAATCTACACTCCATGGACTGGCATTTGACCAGTTGACAATTTCTGCCATTTAGAACAAAATTTCACATTCATTCTCTGTTCCATCATACATTCTATTTTCACAACTGGACAAAGCTGACAACACAGTGATCTAACATGCTACTGTTCAACAAATTCTGAATGCAGCTCATCCAAACTTTTATGTGAGCTCTGTCTTGTTGAATCATCTAACATTCCAAGCAACAGTGCCGCCACACAGCCTGCTGTGAAATTAAAAATGAGTCTGGAAACTCATTTGCCCAACCTTCTACAGCATCTACATCTCACATAAAAAAACTCTATATTCCAGAGAAGTTACAGTAAAAGGTGCCATACAACTCAAATTAGCTTCATATCAACAACGTAACATAAATAAATACAGTACATCCTAATCTACATGATTTTTATGCACATAAATGATGTTAATGCAATTTAATGCATAACTTTAATTCTATGTTGAAGATGAAAGTACAGGGTGATTCAGTGTCCTCTGGTCAAACTGAAAGTTGTTGGAGAGATAATTTGGAGCAGAAATCATAACTAAACTGCTGTTCAATTCATCACATTTGTTAAGATGTTTTGTCATTTTTTTAAGAAACTGATATAAATGTGCATTTACTGTACATTTGGCTATTTATACTCAAAATCTTTGTTGCCTTAAGTACAATGCATGAAAAGTGTGGTTTGCAAATTTTCACTTAGAATTTTACATCATCTTAAAAGACATATGCTGTAGTGAGCGAACATATGCAGTTGCACATATTTGTTCAACACAACTGCTGGAAGTTACCTCCTCCAGCTTACATGCCCACTTCATGGCGACATAAAATGCAATTCCTGATATAAATCACTTGTCTAAGCTGGCATCTAATGTATGTCCCAGCTACCAGAATGCAACTGAGCAGGTTATCTGCAGCATAAATGTTTTCCTTCACGTAATGCCATAAGAAAATATGAAGTAGGAACATACCAGGAGAGAACATGGAGGCTTTAAGTAAGACCCCCCATCACTGATCCCTGTCTGGAGAATGGTGTTCAACCAATTATGAACTTGGTGTGAAAAGTGATGTGGGGTGCTGTCATGCAATCACATCCTTTACAAATATTATGGGTACATCCCTCAATACAAGGAGCAACATTCTTTCAAGGAAATCAATAAAATAGATTGAACCAAGATGATCTGCTACCACATACGATCAATTAGGTAACTCTCTATTATTCTAGCCAAAATGATGCAGATAAATCTTTGCTGAAATGAAGAGTGCATGAGGATTCTCCAGTGTCAATTCATGTAGGCTGTAAAGATTTTTTACTCCACGCCTTGTGACTTTTGCCTCATCAATCCACAATACAAAGCACAAAAAGTCAGTATCATCTATAGATTTGTGTAAAAGCAAATTACAAAACTGGAAGCAAATATTACTGTCCCTTGGTTGCAGCCCTTGTATAAAATGTACATGAAAACATACAGCTGCTCCTCATGTAGGGTATGCCAAACTGCACTCTGAGCAGGCCCGTTCCATGTGTGACCCAATGAACTTTAGTCAACAGAGTAGCAGTGTCTAAGAGTTCATCTTCACATTCTGTACATTGTGCCTAACACAGCAAATATTTGCTAGTGGCATGAATCCACCTTTTTCCCTCAGACTTACCCTGAGACCATCAGGTCTGCATCACAAACATGAAAATCTACTGTTCATAAATAAATTGGCAAGTCTCCTTTCACATTCTTACTTTCTTATGTAAAACTGCACCCGCAGATGATTTCTTTTGAAGGAGGTTATATTGAAACTGAAAATACTATAATGCTAAAATACACAAATTTAATAATTTGCCTTGATTTTTATAAGTCCTTTTCTATGAATTCAATTTCTTAACAAAACAGGAGGGAAACAACAACACATTTTCTCACACACCAAGCTTTTCAAGGAATGCTGGGGTAAGTAGACGTAAACTTAATCTGAGATTATTCAAAATTTCACAGCAAGAAGATGCGAGATGTCAGATTTGTTGCAACTTGAAAGTTATTCCAAACTGCCTGGAGCAAGCAACTCTCTATGTGACCATGCCAGTACCTCCTCAGCAAAAAAGTTTCTAAAATTCTCTATAAACATAAATTTACAAGGAACAAGATGTGAACACCTGAGTTTACATTGCTGAATAGTAAAAAGCATGAAAATATCTTAAACAAAAAGGTACCCAAAGGCAGCATTCTTCTATGTCCAGGGTACAGTCCTGTAGCATCAGACCAAGAGCGTTGGTGAGTCTTCTTGTTTGGTGAAGTAACAGGAGTGCTTGGTGGAAGAGGAGGTGGAGGAGGAGGAGGAGGTGGAGGTGGAGAACCACTGGGAACAGTTGGTGAAGCTAATTCCTTCATCTTTGAACAATCAGGTGCAGGACCACCAGTGCTAACTCTTGTTCGACGAGTCAGGGTAGAATCTGTCTCCTTCGGTCGCAGTTCATCTGACAGGATGAGATTTTTCAGCTTGGTCCCATGAGATTTCTTCTTACAGAGAAGATGAGCATCTGAACTATATGCATCAAGGAACCATGCACACTTCAGTGAGAAGTCTGCTGACTTCCTACACCTGTAGACCACAAATGACATGGCAAATAATACAAAGATTAACTTTCTGCAGATACTATTCCGAAACATCACAAACAGAAGAAAGGTTACAGGCATATATCTCATACACCTCATAAATATCAGTGCACTCTAAACAATATTCTACAGCATTTACACAGTGAAACTCTCTCTCACTGATAGAAGTTAAACATTTTCAGCATTGCAATGCCATAAAATTAGTATTTATTTCTTAATACTGTATATGGTTAGAGGTTTTGCTTATAATTTGACAAAAAGAGAACTTTGGCAATGTAATAAAACAAGGCATATTTTGAAAATATATATAAGAGGAATTTTAGATTGTAGCCATAAGATCATATAGTGTATTAGTTTCCAGTTCTTCATGATGATGAGTATATTAAGTATGAACATCATGTCAGTCTCAGCTACTTACTATTACAATAGATTTGTGATATTTTGTATAGGTGATCCTTACTGAATTTGGATGACATACATACATCATCACCATATTTATGGCACTAATTTTTATCTAAAACATCTTATACTTTGGCAAATGTGTAACCAAACGTACGTTCATTTATGCCTATAAATCATGTTTTATCAAACTGAGATCATAAACTTCTCTAAAAGTCATCAAGTTCTCAAGAATGATTTAAAACATAGCTGCACACAGTTTTGGCAGAGAGCAAGTCTGTAAGATTTAATACAATACAAGTACTTTTGAAAAATGTAGCTGCAGCTGGAAAAACATCTCAAAACATCTTTCATTACTGTACAGAGAGGTAAAGGTACTGAGGTTCCTGGTGTTATTATGCTCCCTGACAGATTTGCCTCTATGAGTGAACCATGTGTTGATATTCCAAAAATGTTACTTCTTATATCAGAGTGGCTACCTAGTGCTCTACCTGTGTCTCATGTAGATCTCCCATTTGAATAACAATAACTTCAAATGTTTTTGTCATGGTAGGTCATTCATTTAACAGCAGCTATAATAAATAAATATTATGTTCCATAGAACGCATCAGTACAACCCAGTCTCCAACTGTAACTGTTTAATATCTCACCTGTGGACAAGATATGGGTGGATAACTTCAGCAACATCATGCATCTGAATATACATGCTGACAAGTTGTGGCAGATAAAAATCCACCTCATGATCAGGAAAACTGAACATTTTGTTACCTAGGGTACAGAAAGAAAATGGTATTAACAGATGATGAGTTTGTCTGCAGGGTCATTTACTGGCATGCAATTCATAACTGTCCTAACACAGTAAACGTACACAGCACATTCTCACCTATGTAATGCTGAACACCAGGTTCCTTTGAGTTGAATAAATAGGAAATAGCCATTGACATGTCAAACAGTTTGCTTTCAAACAGTCTCAAAAGAAAATCTTTTTTTCCCTTAATTTGTGTCATATCCTTTTCAGATTTCTCTGTATCAGAGCTCACTCCAAAACAAAGAGTTATAGAGGAAGGAATAGGACATGACTGCATTTCTGCTGTTAGTATGGAAGCACCTGAATGGTCACCACCTGTCTCACTGCACTTTGAAGCACAATTTTCATCACTTGTCTCCCTAACATCCACTGCAAGTTGAGTTACTTCAATCATTGGTGTTACGGGCATAAAGACTACATCTGCAGTATGACACTCCAGTTCGTGACGGTTGCTGCAGGTTTCAACAGAGTCAGAGCAGTCAACACATAGTTTGTTTCTATGATTTGTATGAGAGAGCTGCTCATGATCTGATTTATGTGTTGGTAAGTCTAAACTCTCATGACTGTGATCTATACCAGTCAACTGTTCTACACTTGATTCACGTGTAGCTGTATTTGCATCGCTACCTGACCCACTGTCAGAACCACACAAAATGCCCGAGTCATCTGAACCCAAACTGGTGATCTCCTCACGGTCTCGTCCCTTCCCTACTGGTGGGCCACCTGTCTTATTCTTGGCACATTCTCCTCCTGCAGCTGCTTTGGTTGACCCAGGGATTCGTTCTGCAGGTTCACATTCTGGGCTTGGTGTGATGTCTACTTCAGGGATTCGCTGCAAAGCTGAGTCAAGACTTCGGTTACGATGGTGCATTGTTAATGTTGTTACAGTCGTCACTTGTGACACTGGAGGCAGTAGAATGCCCATTGATCTGTGTACAAAAGATATCAATGCAACTTCATACTCTCTGCTCACAGTAACTAAGAAATATTGTAAAAATCTGCCATATCAGAGTTAAAAAACAGTAATACAGGAAAAACAATCTGATAATGTATATTTTATAGACATACACTGTAGCTTTTTGGGAAAATGAAGTGCTCTAATAAAAATAAGAAACAAAGTCCAGCACCTGGATAGAGGAAATGGGGGGGGGGACTAATGGAATTTTGCAACACACAGCCGTCAGCTGTGGAGGATTTAAATGAATGTAAAGATGCAAGCCTGGACTAAGATGGCTGGAACCTCCCATCAGTCAAATATCTTTCAAATACTATAAGCAAGTTCTGTAATATAGGATCTGAGGTTATCACAGCAGTCAACAACCAGACTGTGGTCTTCTAGGCTGACATCATGCAGACTTGCAAGTGGTCACCAGCACCTTGAAGGAAACTGTCACCTCCACTTCTTCAAGGTCAGCCCTCAAGTTTATGGCAGCTACTTCCTCCAAAATATTGGTACTTACATACAAGACTATACAGTGTCACAAGCCAGAAGGCCATAGTCAAAAAGACCTAGAATAACAGCAGAGTTGGATGACTGTAACATAGTTATATTGCTTTAATAATTCAGCCTGGTATGGTAGGTATAAAAACATTAAAAAAGGAGTTAACAGTATCATTAGAAAATAACACCTCCAGAACAATACAAATTTCATTCACTGTCATGATTTCCATAGTCACTTTGGTTTTATCACACTTCCTGCAATTTTATGAACTGTTCTCCGTAACAGTTGGTATCAATTATTATATTTCCCTAAATCCATTAACATTACTGGTCATGTACTGTATTACTACAATGACACGTGCTCATCACAGCTTGCCTGGCACTGTATTTTATTTAGTAACACATGCTTATAACACTACTGGAACACCCAAGTTAAAATACTGCCACAAGCCCCTTTATACTGGGAGATTTAAAAATCCCTGTTCTCAGAACACAAATTTTAACAAAATAGCAGTGTCATGTGTTCTGGGTTAGCATGAGTAATAATGATGGGTTATGGATTAGATCAATACATTTACTGAACACCCACAAGTCATGACTATCAATATTTATAACACTCTTAAAGATTACTGTAACTATGGCACACAATATAAAGTCTTCTATAACTGCTTTCACCAGTCGTTGCTACGTAACAAATCTCAACAATGGCTATGCCTTTACAATGTTTTCACTATCCATTTCCTGGCAACAGATTTTAACAAAGGAACTACACCAGTCACACTACAGATTTCACTGTAAAATTTCATGCCATATCTTATTCAATCACCTTGGGCAGCCAACCCTCCTGAACTCGACCCAATTCTCCAGTGCTAATTCTCCAATCTAATCTCTGAGCCACTTCTCTATCCAATTCTCTATTCCCAGATAGCCAAGTCAAAGTCACATTGCGACTAACGGTCGGTCAGTCTGTCTGTCTTGGTGTCAAGTCCCAGCAGATGTTACTTTTTAAATGAAAGTTACTGTCCTGTCCATGTGGGGCGCCCTCTCTGACAAGAGGTCGGGTCTGTCATTTGTCAGTCATAGTTGATAGTATTAGTCCATTGTCACTATGTATACTAATTTACAATTGAGTCTTAATATCTAGTATGTATGTAGGTAAGTCAATAAGTAAGTTGCAAATGGATATAGAACTTAAACAAATAAGAGTACTGATTTTAAAAATGATTTTATTTCTCAACATAATCTCCCTGTACATTGAGGCACTTGTCCCATCATTTCACAAGCACCTGAAAGCCATCAGCATAAAATTGCTTGGGCTGCTGTCAGAACCAGGCAGTGACTGGGATCACGAAGGCACACTGATCACCACATTCCAGCCTCAAGCACAAACCATAAATGCAGACTCCTATGGTAACATCCTCAGGAAACTTCATAAGGCCATTCAATGGAAGTGACCAGGACTCCTCACCAAAGGCGTGTTGCTCTTGCATGACAACATGCGTCCACATACTGCCAACAAGACAAATGAGACGCTGCGAAATTTCAAGTGGGAAGTCCTCGAGCATCCTCTGTATAGCCCCAACCTTGCTCCAAGTGACTCCTATTTGTTCGGCCCTCTTAAACACCTTATGGCTGAACATTTTCCCGACGATGAAGCTGTAGATAGAGAAGTCACCGCCTGGTTCCAACAGCAGTCCAAAGAATTTTATGCTGCTGGTTTTCAGGGGCTTGTGAAACGATGGGACAAGTGCCTCAATGTACAGGGAGATTATGCTGAGAAATAAGTGTTTTTCAAATCAGTACTCTTATTTGTTTAAGTTCTATAGCCATTTGTAGCTTACTTATTGACTTACCCTCGTATAATATTGTAACGTGTTTGGATTCCAGAAGAGTCACTTCTATGGAAATGCTAGAAGAGACCGTTGCATAGGAAGTAACAATAGCGATACTGTAATTCTAACAGTGAACATTGCATAGAGATGAGTTTCCACGGTTATAACAAAGGCTCATTGTATAGCAACCGCCGAGGTATAAATAGCTACCATTGCTACCATGGCACTCTAGTCACTTGAACGGTCATATGCCTGACCCAGATAGCTATAACAGACTATCATTATATAACCTCAGCACGGACCCAACAGAAAGCACTTTCTATTAGGAATATGTGTTTATGGCTCCGTTGCCTAGCACTGGGCATGGCACGGACCACTTAGAAAACGCTTCTTCTGTTGTCTGAATTGTTGTGCTACTTAGCAAATAGCTGTAGCATGGTCCACAGCTCCTAATGTTGTGTGTTTGCTGGGGCATGTATACTGAGTCGTCAGGCCTAGCAATGGTCAAATTTGTCACAATAGTTTCAAATTTAAAAAATGACACATGCCATTTGTGCAAATTTGTAACCCAGATCCACTCACAAGTTGTCTCTGCCCTGCATAACTTGACATACTTTCCCAATCAAAATCTCTATTGCGAACACCATTCCCTACTTCTTCACTTCATCAGTGCCTTTTGCTAATGTGCCAATCAGTGCATAATCATCTTCAGGACTTTAACTGTCAGTGTCCCAGCCCAATAAACTTAGTTCCCAATCATTTAAATCTAATTTATCAGACAGATGTTGCTATGACAGCAAAGGTGATACCTTCCTGCTGCTAGTTGCTGCCAAGGACCCTTAAATTTGCAGCTGTTGCATAGTTTATAAATGTACTGAGAACGCCTGTATTCAGTATATGGCGGCAAGCATTCATTACAAAATATTATTCTTTCTTGAATAAATAAATAACATTAGCTGCCAAGTGCTACATATACTTGTGTAACTGATGGCAACACAAAGCAGAACCTCTTCAGGTATATGGCATTACAAATTTCATTTCACTTAAGTTTATATACCCAGTAGGATAAATTATAGTTCAGAAGTACTCATCTGTTAAGCACTTGCTGGCAGGGCAGAAAATTCTGAGTAAAAGAATGATGCCAAAAGATTAATTTTCTATACATAATTAGTAATTACAAAGAACAAAATATAAAGTTCAGGTTTTCATCTTTCACAACATACCAAAAACACACAGGGAATAATGTGGCATGGGGACCTGCTACTAGGCAACAACCATGAAATAAGCAATTATACAATGGCTGTTACTAGGCAACAGCCTGTAAACAGCAACAGAGGAATGGTGTTCTCTGTGTGACTCTACTGGGAGATAATGTACTCGTAGATACCATAAAGAAAAACACACAAACTTTAATTGACACAAGTAAAGAGGTTGTTCTAGAAGTAAACACAGAGAAAACTAAGTATATATTACTGTCTTGTCACCAAAATTCAGGGAAAAATCATGATATAAAGATAGGAAACAGATGTTTTGAAAATGTGGCACAGTTTAGATATTTGGGAACAACGATAACAGATCGAAACCTGATTCAAAAGGAAATTAAGAGGCGACTGAACTCGGCTAATGCTTGCTTCCATTCAGTCCAGAACCTTCTGTCTTCTGTCTGTTGTCCAAAAACATAGAAATAAGAATATACGAAACTATAATTTTGCCTGTGGTTCTGTATGGGTGTGAAACTTGGTCTCTGACATTAAGGGAGGAACAAGACTGAGGGTGTTTGAGAACAGGGTGTTGAGAAGAATATTTGGACCGAAGAGAGATGAAGTGATAGGAGGTTGGAGAAAACTGCATAATGAGGAGCTACATAACTTGTACTCTTCTCCAAGTATAATTAAAATTATCAAGTCAAGGGGGATGAGGTGGGCAGGTCATGTAGCACGAATGGGGGAGACGAAGAATGCGTATAGGATATTGGTGGGAAAGCCAGAAGGAAAGAGACCACAGAGAAGACCAAGGCATAGGTGGGTGGACAATATTAGAATGGGTCTTAGAGACAGGATGGGATGGTATGGATTGGATAGATCTGGTTCAGGATAGGGACCAGTGGAGGGCTCTTGTGAACACGGTAATGAACCTTCGGGTTCCATAAAATGCTGGGAAATTCTTGAGTAGCTGCAGAATTGGCAGCTCCTCCAGAAGGCCTCAGCCCCACGAGTACGCAAGTAAGAAGGCAGAAGGGGAGCGCTCTGAGACTTGGGGGCCAGACATAGCCATACCCCCTGCCACATAGTACCTACACCCTTTCTCACTATATCAGCATCAAGAAGCACAAACATGTGCTGATCTGGATTGTGTGAACAGCAGCATCAAAATCTTTGTGCGTCCCCTGCCATTTTAGTCACATTACTTTTGGTCATTACACCCCTTACATTTTAAAACAAAAAATTAGCACATGACATAATATTTCTTTTGATCTAGGCAGACAACTACAAGTCGTCAAAACCATTAGCCACTGAACAAATCAAGAGACACAACAGAATAAACACAACAAAATAAAAAAATGTGCTTTAAACTATTTTGCTATGATAATGACAAGGGAAATTCCTTACAGTTAGCATAAAGCTATCAATGGTATAGAAGGATGAAGAAAAAAGAGAAGTCTTCACATGCTCGATACCCCTGACACTAGGGAATATGTGTTGTCAGCATCATGCTCCAGCCATGGGAAGATTTCTCAAATGTTAAATCTAGGATCATTACAAGGTTATTTATTCATTCAGACTACACGGCTTGCCTTTACAATATTTATAGCAGATAAACTACATATTAATATTAATCCAAACGCATCTCAGTTTTGGTGTGTCAATAACTGGTTGCTTGTATATTGTGCACGACATGGTCATACTGCATAACAAGGAAAAACTGGAAGAGGGTCAGAAGACGTTACAATATTTTCAGATTGATTCAGATTGAGGTTATGGTCTCCTGTGATGTGACACCAGTTTGACTGGTACACAGGTACCAATGATCCATCTTCTACTCTGAAGACAGAGACACCAGGTTCTTCTGATATGATGGTACCTGCCTACCAAACAATGTATATGTCACATTCCAGCAGAACATAATCTTGATCCTCAGCACTTATGAACCGGAAATTTCCTATATTTTTCGACTGCTTGCATATATATTTCATAAAAACATAACATTTCAGGCAGAATAAAATATCATCTCTAGAATCCATAATATTAGGTACTGGTTCCTATAGGATTGAGACTTTCAGTCACGTTACCATACAAGGCCTTTACATATTAAGGTTATTCACAAATTAGAATGTGTACAAATATAAGTTTAGATGCTTAGTTACACTTCATTTTGTGATGCAAGAATTGTAATTTAAATATCTTGCCAGTGATACAAAAACCAGTGCCATGACTGTGACACACATAAAATCAGGCAACATTTTAGAATTACATCCCACTAGCATTCTGCTTAAGATCAACTCTCCCACAGCTGCAAGTAAGTATCAATCAGAATGGTCAAATGTAAAAATATTCAAAAATAACAAAGTGAAATTCATGTTCGGTTCTGACCTAAAATCAAGACTCAGATTGCGCTGGTGGTTGCTGAGCCGTGTGCGAACATGCAGGGCTGGGTTGGAACGTCCATGCACTGGAGGGACACTGTTCTGACATGCTGCCAGCTTTTGTCGTTTGATGAGGGCTGCCTCTTGTCGCTTGTCTGCGAGGTTATTACTTCCCGCAGTTCTTTCAAGTGGCAGTGGGGGAGCAACTTCACTCATAATGTTGTTACTAGGCTACAAGCCCAGTCACCTATCGCTCATGGTTTTCTAACCAGTTATGTAACTACAATGATCACTCAATCTGGAAAAGAGAAAAAACAAATGAGAATATAATTATTTATATGAAGCACAATCCTTCTTAAGAAGTTAACAGTCACTCTGCTAGGCAAAAAATTCCCTGGCCTTCATATGAAGCCTGCAGATTCATTATAGTGTTCACATGAGCCCACCACTGGTTCATATTCTCAGCCAGATGATTTAATCTCACATCCTAGTTTAAGATCCATTTGGCACACTGAATGCTATCAATGAACTTAAATAATATACACAAAGATTCATGTCACACACATACAAAGTGAAAACTGTTAGTGTTAATGTGAAAAGTGTTAATTTATGTATGACTCAAATATTATACATATGAATTGGTACTCTAAAACCACAACAAAAAATAAATTAAAAAAATAAAAATATTGTCTTGAGGCTATAGCTGACTAAAAAAATTGGTTCAAGGAAATGCTCTGTCACCATGAAAAACACAAAAAACATAATGAAGTGTGAGATTAACAGTTCTGAATTCAACCCATGACCAGAAGACAAATTACCAATGAGAGTAAAATTTCCTCTGCAGTAGAACATATCTTTTAAGGGTATCTTTATTTATTTTTAATACTATTCACTGACTTCTTATCAGATAACCATACACATCATGGGACATCCTGCATGTTATTACATGCTTCCAGACAGGCCAATCTGCTCTGTAACAGCTGCTTTATGTATGAAGCTTTGGTCACAAATTAAAGAGAGGACGGTTTTAATACATCATAGACATTAAGAGAACCACTTACTTACTTACTTACTCACTCATGGAGCTGAGCCCTTCTGGAGGAGCCGCCAATTCTGCAGCTACTCAAGAATTTCCCAACATTTTATGGAACCCGAAGGTTCATTACCGTGTTCGCAAGAGCCCTCCAACGGTCCCTATCCTGAGCCAGATCTATCCAATCCATACCATCCCATCCTATCTCTCTAAGATCCATTCTAATATTGTCCACCCACCTATGTCTTGGTCTTCCCTGTAGTCTCTTTCCTTCTGGCTTTCGCACCAATATCCTATACACATTCCTCGTCTCCCCCATTCGTACTACATGACCTGCCCACCTTGACTTGAGGACGCGCCATGCCGTGGTGATAGGGACCCACCTAACATGGTTAAGAGAACCACTATATGATCAAATACAAAACTGAATGAGAGAACACTTTCCATCTGGCAGACAAATGAAAGAGACAGAAATTGACAGAGAAACTTCCATAATTTCACTGGATGAAAGAAATTTTATGCGAAGGGTGAGGATCAAACCAGAAGCTCATACATCAGGAGGAGTCAGTAGTCATGATGTTTCCCCTGCAAAGGAAAGTGTGATGCCTGTTATGGCTGGTGAAATTTGAGTTGGTGACTAGTATGCAACATGAGTACTGTCACATTTTTCATTAATTTATTTATTTGTGGCTTATTTAATGAAACTTTCAGCAGATAAGACTGAAATGACACATACAATGCACCAGTCATTGTCATATACAGCAGAAACATGCCTTCTTCTGGGACACAGCTGGCCTGTATCTACTGCAACATCAGTGACTCACTCACTTTGATGCTTTATCTTCTTTATCTGATGACAACAAATATATCCTAAGCTCTCAAGTATTGATGGGCAGAAACTTATGGATGTTTTGTGTACTAGAAACAGTTTTAGCAAACTGTAGCCTATCTGTCAGTGCTATCACATGTTTTGATGTCTTTCTACACTATGTAGAAGAATGTAATTCCTGTAACAGTTTCTTTGGCCCATTTGCATAAGCCTTCTGACATTAAAACGTGGTGAAGACTACCACATGTACAATTGGCCACAAACACTTCTGTCACATGAAGCAACAAAGAAATTCCACTCAGCAGCTACACAAAAATCTCCTTCGTTATAACATAATGTCAAGAAGTTCTTGCAGTTCATGTACTGTAAACATGAACCATCACAGAAATAACATACCTCCTTTAAATGTGATAAACTATCAGAAACCAACTGGTACATAATGCAATTTATGAAATCGTGGAGTGTAGTTGCTATATGTTCAAAACAGCCACTGATGACACAGACACTTATCTGTGCTATATATACAATAATCTATATAAGGGTGGATGTTGTCCTGATCAGTTTCTGAGTGGAATGCTTGCATGTCATCTTGACCTACAGACAGATAATTATCTTAAAATCAAGTAAAATAACAGCTTCAGTGTCTAGCAGAATGATTAATTTTAACATCTTCAAATATGAAACTTGTGACTGTTGTGCTTATTGCTTCATCTGCTGCTTGGCAGTCTTTTTCAGTGAATTCTCCAACTATAGATATCATGGATATAAATTCTGTAGTACCATCCTAAAACCACTGCTTGTAAACTATACAGTTCTCCACATCGAAATTTCTAGCCTGAAATAATCCTTCAGTAACAGTAAGCACAGCAGTGGTTCCCAAATGTTTTTGGGCCACTGCCCCCTTGGTTCCATAAACTCATCCCCAGTGTCCCCTGGCCTACCCTATAAAAAGCATTCTTCAAAACAGCGGTTTGCAGAACCCAGTAGGAAGATAGTAACAATAAAATATGGATACTACATTTAGTAACTACTCCACTGTTAGTAAATTCTTAATGTGATGGATGGCCTTCATGAAGTGATGCCAGTTTCCCAATGTCTGGTCTGAAGTGACATCAGTAGTAAATATGCTAACAATGTGCTGGGGGGGGGGCATATCCAGCACCCCCATGCTGCCCCCTCGCCTCTTAGTAAAGCCCACTTTGGGAACCACTGCTCTAGAGCATAACAGATTATCAAAAGAAATCTGTAGTCTATTCTGGTACTGCGGCAGTCAGCAACTTAAATTCTGATGCGCATGCATTCTCTTTTTCTCTGGACTTCACTCTTAGACAATGTGTTGGCTGTAAAGAACAAAGTTATAAAATTTTGACCGTCTATTTTTAAAGACATGTGGTGTGCTTTGAATTCCAAATATGACTGTTTCAGATTAACAAGCAATAATCTCTTCTGTTTATGAATTATTCCTGAGTCTGTAGTTTTGACTAATTCAAATTATTTCTTTCCTTGACATATCCAAGTGAAGTCACCACCATCATCATAAGATGCCTTTACTTCTGTAAAGTTTCTTTAGAAAGTGTTCTTAACAGATTCTTTGCTAATTCAGCTAGAATGTCTTTGTTCTTTCTTTAATGCACAAGCATTATTTACCTTAAATCTAGAAACTCAAAATTAATCTCCTGTTTAGCTTTTTGGTAAAAATGTTAATAACTTCTTATCCTCTACTCAGATGGTGATGCACATTTTCTGTTTGCTTCATTCATTAAAGTAGAAACATATCTTTCCAAGTCTGTTTACTCCTATTATGTGGGACCTGAGATGTACTAGGCAAACTGAGCACCTTGGCAACTTCTGAACATAATGTTTGTTCACACTTTAAAATTTTTATCTCTTGGCAACAGATTAAAAATTCACTCCATCCCCCACAACTCCCAAACAGGCTAAACATTTGCTTTTCTATACCAAATGAAACTTTCAGCTTCCTAAATCCAATCTCACAATTCTATTGCACATGATGTATGTATAGACTCAGCACCAACAGATTCCTTGAGAAAAAACTGCTGAACAACAAATTCCATTAAGATCTAAAAATGTGTGACGATGGTATATTAAAACAGTTATTGGTTTTTTGGACCTTATCCATCATCCTATTTTTTATTTAAAACACACATTTTATACTTTATACTTATTAAATAAACAGTAAATTTACATATTTATGTATGCACAACTGGCACCCCCATGAAAGGTTTGAATTCAGGCACTGAAGTTCTTTTTCAAAAACTGATGAACTTGCAACTTTAAATCCTACATCTTGTGTGTGGTGTCTGGGGACCTCCAAGAACATCCAAGCCTCAGACTGATTTTATCTCATGTCCTTCAGTAAGCACTTAAGTGTTCAGTCCTCTCCCCAGGTAACAAAGTACTCAGTGCTAGGCCTGGACATTCTGCTGACAACAACAGACACCACTGTATGCTGTAATAGTAGTAATTCTTATCAGCCTACTTTCCTTATTTCAAAAAAAAGAAAGCAGGCTTATGCAATTTACACGCTGTCTGTCTGCGTGTGAATCCTCCACCCTCCTTAACTTTTGAAGCCTGAACCAATCTTTATGAAAATCCCTAAGTATACCATGGCACCTCAGCCCATTTCAACGGCATGCTTCATAAATCCGTCCCATCAGTCTGTGTTTCTGCATATGTATCCCTCCTATTGCTGCTAGGTAAAGGCTCTGTAAAGTGTATCCCTCCTTTCATTGCTAGGTAAAGGCTTACAAAACACATTCGTGTGGTAACAAATACACATAACAATAGAAGAATTGTTGGACACTTGTATGTGTGAGTCCAACTTGGTAAAGACTTTCCTGCAGTAACAAAGAATTGTTGGACATGTCATTTTCTGTGGGGTCCATGTCATATCAAAAGAAATCAGGCAATTAGTTCCTCCTGGAACTTGTTTGTAATATATTACACTGGGTATATTGGCAGTCCAAATGTTTGTGACCCAACTAGACAGAAAAAACAAGAGTCTGAGGTGCATAACAATTTTCAGGTCTCAGATGACTGCACTGTAGTTAGGATGAGTAAAAGTAAAGTAAAGCTATCCCTGTATCAGGCCATGAAGGCCCATAGGGTTGTGAGACGTTGAGGGTCCCACATTATCTAGACAATTGGCTCAAAGCTGGCAGTAAGTTAGGATGAGAGCAAATATTTATTATGACCACTACAAAATGCTAAATTACTTTGAATCCCATCAAGAATGTGATCAGTTGCTCATGCCTAAATACAATGCCCTTCACAAGTGGCTGAATTGTGGTACTCCAACTATATGCAGACCATCCTGCTAATAAGTGAGTGCTCTTTATTTTATGTATGGGTGGGGACAGACAGCAAAAGACATGCAGTGTCCGTTTATGTTTCATGGAATGACTGAGGCTACGAATGACTCTCTGTAAAACCCATCAGTCTTCCTCCTGTGTCTGTTCACATAAGACATTCAGACATGTTTCATGTCCATTTACAGTACTGAATTGAAATGAGCAAATACACACTTGAATAACAGGTCTTTATGTACCATAGCTACATGAACAAAATAAATATATACATAGAGTAAAAGAAGGTTTCGTCATAAGTATCTTGTTGTCCAGAGTCCCAGATACTTCAACAATTTTCAAACTAGTGAAAAAAAGTCCAGGAACCCAGTAATACTGAGTGGTATATACTAACACCGCTCTTTTCCAACCCGACTTTGTTTATTTCAGCTCAGTCGGAATGGCGCTATCCTTGCTATACCTGTTTCTACCTTAGGACAGTGTATGATGGCCACTGCAAGTTGTCCTCACAGATCAAACTAAGGAAGGTCGGTATAGGTATGGGAAACTAGCTGGGTCAGTTTGCATGAGTCTCAGGGTAGTGATGCCGAAGCGAGCGAGCGGTATTCTGGGAGTTGATCCAATTGACGTTTATTCACCTTTTTGTTCTCCAAACCACTGTTAATTTTATGTATCCTTGTGCTTTAAGTTATAGCGTTACACGATCTGAAAGCTAGGTCTCGCAGTGTGCAAGGGTCACATCCGTTCACTTCGGAATATGGTGAAAGTCTCCTTGTGGAATGGCTTGCACACCCCACGCCGGGAATTCGAAAGAATTCGAATTCTCCATGGTGTAGACATATACATGTCATCCCATCTTCCGTAAGGAAGCTTGAATGAGGTAACTCAATCATACTGGCCCTCATTCACAGGCAACTGTAACAAGTTCTGACCTGTCCTTCTCATTGACCTTCCTTTTAGGGGCATCCAGTTCCCTGTACCCGAGCTAAATTCATGACTGCTCGTAAATGTCAGAACTCCGGGCTCCTTGGTCATGCCAGAATCTAGAAATTTCAACATAAACACCGTACTGCACATCCCAGACAATGAAATACGATATTATAGATCACAATAAAGTTCCAGTAATATCAAAACATAAGACTTTTGAAATTAAAATTACCGAGAATTAATTAGAAATAAATTTCATGGTCATCAATAATCATCCAAATAAATAAGGGCTCATAATGATCAGCGTCAATACCATTGTCAAAATCATTTAGAATCTAGTGAACTAGGTCTTTCTTGGATAATAAATACACTAGACAGAGCTATCCAAGGAGAAACATGATGAAACTGGAGCCGGATTAGAAGATTCACCTAGCAATTTCCTGATACAATTAGCTCAACAGGCACAGGTTTTGAGAGCTAGGAGAGCAAATAAAAATGGGGAGTGGTTCACAGTTTGGTCAACCGAGAGGTCACATGTCAAAATCACACGGATTTTAACAACGAAATTAAAAACATAAGACATGATCTGATGCTCACTGAATATCTGAAAGAATTAATTGACTCTGTAATAAAGCTATCGGCAAGAAATCGTCCCTCTTCAGACATAGTATGCCAGGGCACTGTCGTCATCCCATATGTTAAGAGCACTCCCGAGAAATTCAGACACATCAGGAACTGTTTCAAGCTCAGAGCCATCTTCAAGACTAAACATACACTGACGAAAATTGGACCGGTTAGAGAGGCCCAGAAGACGAAGCAGTGTGTGTACAACATCCCATGTGATTGTGGCAGATGTTACATCAATAAAACATGCAGACTTTTAGAAGTATGCATTAAGGAACACAAATACAACCTGACGCAGGGTTTGATGGAAAAATAAAAAAAAATAGCCTAACATGCATATAAGGAAGGCAACAAAACATGTTGGAATGAAGCGAATGTCTTGCAGATTAAGGCAAACACCACATAAAGGAAATACAAAGAATCAGCCCACATGTCTCTACCAGACCATCCGATCAGTCAACCCAGTTTGGACATCTCTCCATCTGGGCCCCTGTTATCACAGCCCAAGTCAAGAAACTACAGCTCTGTCAAATGTAGTTTGAGTGGGAAAATTCGTTTTCTTGTGTTGGTACCATAAGGAACATTGTTTCTCTCCAATGATGATTTCAATCAAGATACTTCTCTGGTGAAATGCCTCATATGTGTGCAGTTTTAGTAACTTAATATTTTCTTAGCTCTCACAGATAGTTAGCGCTGTGTTTGGCTTGTGTACCCTATCATGAAGCTGCCACAGGTGTCCGGAAATATAGATTAGCTCTACTGATTTGGCCCAACTGAGTAGGTTTTAGCTGAAGACGGAGACAGAATCCAGTATCTAAAACACTGTGTTTTCAAAAATAAACAGGATGGTTTTTAGATAAAGACAAGATGATGGATAATGTCCAAAAGCATAATATTTGTATTTGTGTCTACTGCCATAAAAATTAGACAGGTTAAAGCAGTTGAAGATGGTGATTATAACACTGTAGTTTTGCGTCTGGTTTCTGAACATGGTACATGACAGTCTCCCTGACCCTAATGTTTCTTACTGACGAAGCCTTGTTCCACCTGAATGGGTATATCAACGCTCAGAACAATAGGTACTGGAGCAGTATTGATTTGAGACAGAATTTTTAAATATCCTTTCATGTCAGATGACCGGTGCGTGGTGTGCCATTACTGCTACATGAATAGGAGGAACCATATTTTTAATACATTTGAAATTATATGCTACACCACATGCTGCCAACTGCTCCATTAACGTTTCAATTAAAGTGTTTGAAGACAGGCTGATATGTCACAGATTGTGGGCTGCAAGATCCTGACTTAAACTCCTGTGACTTTCATCTGTGGGGAAACCTATGAAATGGAGTGTATTCAAATAATCCCCACAAACTGGATGCACTTAAGCGTAACTTTTGAGAAATAATTACATCTACCGAACTTAGTAAACTTAAAGTTGTGTAACTAACTTTTTAAGAGACCTGAAGTTCATTTAAGAGAAAAAGAAGAAAGACATTTTGAGCATCTACTGTGATGGTGAGTTGATACAAACAATTTATTTACTTAAAGAAATGTATGTCTATGTTTACAACATGTCGCATATGGCATATTTCCTGCCAATCCAGGCACACCTAAGATTCCAGCTAACAAACTGGTGGTATGGGAGTCTGGTGATTTGGTTCTTCGAGGAAGATTCTGAAGAAAACCCTTGCAGTTCCATTTCAAACGAAACATATCATATTAAGGCATTACAATAGAATTAAATTCAAGGCACATGGACAATTTAATCAAATCTGAGTTTAATGAGTAGACCACAGAAACCACTCCAAATCATGTTCCTTATGTTAGCACCATATGGCTCATCATGGAAAAGTTACCACCTTAACAGAGCAATACAAGTACATTCTTAACAATTAACGTTATGGCATATGTCTCCCTCCTATCAACATATACGCACTGAGAACCATTTTCACAGTTTGTGAAAATAAAAACCACGCACAGAAAATTAAGAACTATAAACTACAATTCCTGATGACAATTTACCAACACGACTATGTTTTCAGACAAAATATGAACCTCCATGGGTGAATTATAACCAGCTATATATATTGTGTACAAATTGGTTGGGAAAATGAGGGAATGGGTGTGCCCAAATGTAGTCAAGAGCATGTGCTATACGGTAGTAGTTTAATACCCACTGTAACTAAATTAACTCCAAACAGTTTTCGTGCAATTAACATCTTAAATCATGCCTAGCAAATACACAAGAACGTTCTACTTCCGTGTTATGGGCAACTTTCTATGACGACCTTTTTGTTGGTAGCCGTCTGTCATTCCACATAAACAATATTATATGCAATGATAAAACCATAAAACTTATTTTAATCTATATATTATACCTCCGATTATATTAGTTTATATTATTTAACAATATCAATTACTACTTACCACTTCAAACTGTTAACTAGAAAATTAATCCATTTAAATATGCTCTCAATAACACTACGCCACGACAGCCATAGTAGATTAATTCACCACTGTTGCCAACGTCATGTGAGTGGCTGAAGTTCACTCAGCACTACGGAGAAATCTATACGTCACCCATGATATGAATAACTGATTCATAGCAACCGTAATTATCAGCGTACGACGCATCATCAGTGCGATTCCCAGTGGAAGAAATTTTAGCATGAGCGTCAGACTTTAGACGTGCCCAATTTGGAACTGAAACGGGAACCTGAGGGTCACGTTGGCAAGAGATGAATATGTTTGGGTGGGGAAGGTCACTAGCTGAGTGCAGCTGTACCCAAGTGAGCTCAATTTCCTAAGGACGAGCGTTGTGGAAGCAGCAAGAATCGAGTGGAGAATCAGTGATTCCCATTGTACACAAAGCACTCATAATTACACTTCCTGTAAATTTCTCACGCTTCCATCTACCCCTAATGACGTCATCTCCTTAATAAATAATGGCTTATTGTGAAAATATAAGCTGCATAGAGCGGCCATACGGATTCCAACGCTGTTTGAAGAGATTACAATCAGCTTCACATGTTGGCAAGAAGCGTAGACAAAACTATGCATGATGTATGCAAAATAAGTGACATGTAGCAGGGGAGGAAGTCCGAGATACATAGATCAAATATGCATGGTCGCGCCCAAACGCATGTCGAGTCTTGTTGGCCAGTTTTTATTATGTATTTCAATTGAACATTCAACAGTCAACCGTAGGTTGCCCAGGAGATCCCCAGCTCAACTACACACGCATTTTTAATAATTCAACTAATTTATGTCGTGACCCCACCCACACATATGCATCACTGGTTACCAGGTGCAATGCACATTCCTCTGTGCTAGCTGCTTCGAGTGAGTTAAATTTGCAAACAGTTTGGACGCACCAGGATATGCAGTACTATGCCAGACGTAAAGCTGTGCTATTACGTATTAATCACGTAGTTTGTGCATGATCTAAGGCTCGAAACATCACTGTTCCCGTACAGTTGCGTCCTTGGCATAACATGAAACATTGTAAAGCAACTTTTACGTATCACACGCACGTTAAGGTATAATTTCTCAGCATTTTATCTCTGTTTTAAGCCTCATCTACAAAAAATCGGAACATGCGTAGAATTACAGATGATGTAAAAGTAAAGTAAGTAAAGGTATTCCTGTAACAGGCCGTGGAGGCCTATAGGGTTGTGAGATGTTGAGGTTCCCACATTTTCTAGACAATCGGTACACAGATGGTGGCAAGGTTGTCAGCCTTACACGCCGGCCGCCTTTTACCCGCAAGAATATTCCAAGAATATTCCTGGTACTCATTTCTGTTAGAGGCTGAGTCGACCCCAGGGCCATAGTGCGGCTGGAAGGATTAGGTAAATTGAAAAAATCCACTGCATCGAGATTTGATCACGCGACCTTCCGGCTTGTAGCATAGTACCTCAACCAACTACCGTGTGCCCCCATTACAAATGATGTACAGAACAAAATTAGAAATACCGTTCTCTCTTAACAAATCATATCTCGGTATCTATGCACACAATCATGTACTACATAGTCCAGGGGTGGGAAATTATTTCTTCTTGGGTGTCTGATGGAGCTATTTCGAAGTGGCCAAGGATCGGGGAGTCCACTTCTTAAACTGCTAATGTTATCAATTATTCGGGATGTTTGAGCTGACTGACCATAATTTATGGATATACTTATAAGGATGAATCCCCAGCATTTTATGGAATCGAAGGTTCATTATCGTGTTCACAAGAGCCCTCCACTGGTCCCTATCCTGAACCAGATCTATCCAATCCATATCATTCCATCCTGTCTCTCTAAGATCTATTCTAATATTGTCCACCCACCTATGCCTTGGTCTTCTCTGTGGTCTCTTTCCTTCTGGCTTTCCCACCAATATCCTATACGCAGTCCTCGTCTCACCCATTCGTGGTACATGACCTACCCACTTCATCCTCCTTGACTTGATCATTCTAATTATACTTGGAGAAGAGTGCAAGTTACGAAGCTCTTCTCCAGTCTCTTGTCACTTCATCTCTCTTCGGTCCAAATATTCTCCTCAACACCCTGTTCTCAAACACTCTCAGTCTATGTCCCTCCCTTAATGTCAGGGACCAAGTTTCACACCCATACAGAACCACAGGCAAAATTATAGTATCGTATATTCTAATTTTTATGTTTTTGGACAACAGACGAGAAGACAGAAGGTTCTGGAGTGAATGGTAGCAAGCATTACCCGAGTTCAATCGCCTCTTAAATTCCTCTTGAATCAGGTTTCGATCTGTTATCGTTGTTCCCAAATATGTGAACTGTGCCACATTTTCAAAACATCTGTTTCCTATTTTTATGTCATGATTTTGCCTTGCATTTTGGTGACGAGACAGTAATATATACTTAGTTTTCTCTCTGTTTACTTCTAAAACAACCTCTTTACTTGCGTCAATTAAAGTTTGTGTGTTTTTCTTTATGGCATCTACATTATCACCCAGTAGATTCACATCATCGGCGTAGACCAACAGCTGATGTGTCCCGTTTAATTTCAGTCCCATCTGGTTTCCCTGGATCTTCCTAATTGCATATTCTAAGGCAGAGTTGAAAAGGAGTGGCGATAAAGCATCTCCTTGTTTCAGACCATTCTGGAGAGGAAATTTATCAGACAAATATTTACCTACACAGACTTTACTATACGTTTCGTTTAAACACATTTTAATCAACCTAACTAGTTTCATGGGTATCCCACATTCTATTATAAAACTTATAAGGATGATGATGAGAATAATAATAATAAATCTGGATATTTGAAGGAGAAATCTCTAGATCGCATCAAGTGGAGGAATTGTTTTGGAAGAGACTGTGGACCTGTGACAGATTACTGATGATGATGATCCTAAACTCTTATTAGTGCTATCACGAATTAAACCCAATCTGGAATCGGCCGAACTCGATTTTCTCGCAACCAGTTATAGGTGCAGTAACAAACTGTGGAACTAAATACGTATATTACGGCTTCAAAATTTGCATGTCTGTAGAGTATAACTCCATTTTATTGTCAATACAATGCGTTCTGTGCATTACTATTTATTATTTTTGTTGTGGGTGTGGAATGAGACTGGGTTCGTTAGTAGTGCGGCCTCGTTTATGTCTATTATACTATCCCCTGATAATAGATAATAAGGGAACACTGATGGAGAAATAATTTGTGAGGGTAACAAGGATATTCTCGGAGAAAAGTTTTCCCCAAGACCATTTTGATCACCAAAAATCCCACAGGGACTATGCTGGCATAGAACCTGGGTCTTCAAGGTGAGCAGCCGGCGGCTAACTCCCCGACCTAGGGTACATGAGAATATAGAAATCAGTAAAAGTCCGTGTTATTACAAATAATATCTTAAAGTCAGATTGAATTTTTTCGCGAGATGAAGTTGGTTAGCGGGTGGTAGTTCGCCTAACACTGACATAACAGTCTGACGTGGCTGAAGAATTTCCAGTGCATCCTCGCGTGTGTTTCTTCTCGATGGGGGTCACGCGAAAATGTTTACAAACCCATTCTGTTAACTTATGTTATATGCACTACGCAATGAGTTAACTTGAAAGCAAGTTAGTGGCAAAGAAAAGTGTGTTCTGTACTCCTACCAACTATTTAATGAACTGAAAGCTAACTGAAAAGCATGCAATCGGGAGAGACCGGTTTATTTACGATGAACGAACTGTGCCGATTATGTGGGTTTAGAGGCCAAGGAAACTGAGAAGGGAACTGAGAACAAGAAAAAGCTCACTGCTCAAGATACTAACGGATTACAGTCGAGAACGCAGTTATTTCATATGGGACGTCGGTGCAGTGAAAGTGAAACATCAATAAATCAGCTAGCGGGCTGAGGAGGAGGAGGAGAGAATTGTATATCATTCATTTGTATTTTTTGCTGAAATTACATTCGCTATCTGATCAGATATAAAACTGTAACTGTTCCTCTTTTCTTCCTTGTTTCCTCTCTAGGGTCTAACAGATAATATGAAATGATATGAAATTTAGGTAGTCCGTACTATTGCCAACGAGTGTGATAGACACGGCTGTAAAATTGGTCTACAAATATTGCGGTAGAGCTTTCTGGGCGTTATTTAAACCCTCGATCCAATTTTTTTTTAAATTAATGAATAAACTCTGGAATGATAAAGTCAAGGAGGATGAGGTTGGCAGGTCATGTAGCACGAATAGGGGAGACGAGGAATGCATATAGGATATTGGTGGGAAAGCCAGAAGGAAAGAGACCACAGGGATGACCAAGGCATAGGTGGGTGGACAATATTAGAATGGATCTTAGAGAGATAGGATGGGATGGTATGGATTGGATAGATCTGGCTCAGGATAGGGACCAGTGGAGGGCTCTTGTGAACACAGTGATGGACCTTCGGATTCCATAAAATGCTGGTAAATTCTTGAGTAGCTGCAGAATTGGCGGCTCCTCCAGAAGGACTCAGCTCCATGAGTAAATAAGTAAGTAATGAATAAACTCTAGTTATGTATCTTTGTGCTGAATTAGGTGTATTACACCCCTCTATATATACGTACAACTCCAATCATGTAAATGAAATATCGCGGGTTTTATTAAGTTGAATTTGAGGCTCCTAACAGAGGTGACCACGAAGAGTACCACTATACCCTCGGTTGCTTCGTCATGTAGTGCGGCAGAAGTCAACCGACGGTGCGGAAGAACGTGGGTGAATTTGTACCGAATTACCTGGCTTTACAGCTGAAAAGATTGTATTCATCATATATTTAATAAAGACGTTTCAACGAAGTAACCTGCCAAATGCAGTGTATCGGATGTGTCAACTGTAAAAGTCTATTTCTGTTAATTTGTCAAACGATGATAGCGAAATATATATATATATATATAATTTTTTCCCCCCTTGGCACTACAGCCCCAGTGGGCCTAGGCCTACCTCCATGAACTTCTCCGTTCAATTCGGTTTTTCGAGATCTTACACATTCGGTGGGACTACTTGGGCGGGTGATAAGCTCGTCGCAAGGCCTCTACCTGTATACAAATACAGAAAAACACACACACAGAAACTAAACATCTATGCCCTGAGTGCGATTCGAACCCACGATCCCGGTTTCCAAGCGAGCGAAGACAGTACATACTTTAGACCGCTCGGCTACCGTGACCGGTCGCGAAATGTATTCAGCATCTAAAATTA